TTAGTGGGCCTTTGGAGTAACACTGTGGGAGCTAATGACTTTGGGACAAACTCCATATGTGGATATTGACCCCTTTGAGATGGCTGCATATCTAAAGGATGGATACCGAATAGCTCAGCCAATCAACTGCCCTGATGAACTGTAAGTTGTGATTTACAGGAATGTGCAGTGCCTCTGTTCTGTATGTTGAAGCCCTATTTCAGTTTAAACTAAGAGGTTTCTAGTTGCGTAGATAGCAGAAATCACAGTTAACCTGTAAGAGCTGGTGATGGCAAATACTCATTTCTTTATAAAGACTGTAGCATGCAGAGTGTATTCAAAAGTTTTTTCAAAAACAACACTAACTTTTTGTGCTCTACCTTTTCTTTAACTCCTTGGGTTCTTCCCTCTCCTGCCCCTCAGAAGTTTTTTTTTTTCTTGTTTTTTTTTCTGTGCATTGTTACAGCTACCTTTTTAAGCAGCATCTTTAAGGCATTTTAACCGTCTCTGGACTACCTGATATTTCCTCCTGAACTGCCTTTGGCTTGCTAAATTTGATCAGCACCTCCAAGTACCTCTTCTGCTGATCACTCTAGGTATGATGCCTTTGGAAGTTTTCAGTTTGGCAGAGTACCAAGAGATGAAAAGTCACCAAATAGCAGGGAAAACAGAAATCCTGAGAGCACGGCTCTGTGTTCTAGTTCTCAATGCTTTTGTTGGCCAGCTAGGCCATTGTCCTTTTAACATCTCTTCTTGTTTGTCTCTTAGGTTTGCTGTGATGGCCTGTTGTTGGGCTCTGGACCCTGAGGAAAGACCCAAGTTCCAGCAGCTGGTGCAATGTCTAACAGAATTCCATGCAGCACTAGGAGCCTATGTGTGAACATCCAGGCACAGATTCCACGCGCTTCTTGGGAGGGGACAGGGCGTACGCTTCCAGCTCCATGTATCACTTGGATCTGCTCTCACATGCAATGTGTATAAAGCAACGCCAATGGGAGAAAGCACTTCTTCCAAAACACTGTGCCTTAGAATGCTTTAGTAGTCTGAAGTTTTTTGTAAGATCTCAATGTTGATGATTTTCTAGATATCACTTTTGCTAAGTTAAACTGAGACCTTTTTATTTGCCAGCAGAATAATGTAGTTATAGTGAACTCGAACACAAGAGTTGGAATTGGACCTTTGCACTGTAACAACAGACACAAACGTGATTTTTTTTTAAGTTTTTTTTTTTAGAGCTGGTAGGAAAACGGAGGAGAATTTGTGCAAAAAAAACCCCTGACAAAAAACCTTACAGAAATTCATCCTTCCTTTTTCAAAAATTTGAAACAAACTGTCTCACCAGCTCTGGTGTTTGATCTTGCACGTATCTGGAATAGCCTTTTAGTATCAGCTGCTTTTCTTTTGAGACGATGGCACAATAGGGTTGGATCCACAAGTGGCATTTTTTCCCCTTTTAGCCCCTTCATCAACAGGTTTTTTTTAGAAATGCCAATCTTCAAGATGCAATATCCCCCTTTCTAAGCAATTATGTAAAAGTGATTCCAATTTACCTCCTACAGAAAGTGGTAAAGATAGGAATAAATGGAACCTCTCCTTCCAGATGGGGTGCGATGGCAGAGCGTGTGCATCTTACCCTACGTCTAGAGACATGAGCTTGAGCCTTTTTCTGGACTTGTGCTGAAGGCCTCCCCCAGTTGAGCCAGTTGGTCAGTCTAGGTGGGGAGTCAAAGATGGCTGGATGTGAAAATAGCCACATCACTCCCTCATGTACCGTTGGCTACAGAAACTGGCATGCCTTAACCACGCTTGCCTAGTGGGCCCTTAGGCTCAAGGTGGACGTTTGGACTTTCCTTGCAAATGAAAGGCTGATGACTTAACACCGCTCTAAATGCTAATTAGAGGCCTTCAGAGAAGTGCCAAAGCAGCCCTTGTGTGGGAGCCTTTCACCTCAGACTTCTAGATTGCAGTTTCTCTTGTCGAAAAGGTACTGGTTGTTTCTAGGGTTTTTATGGCCTAAGATGGGCTTAAATATATAAATATATATTTGTAAAGACACACTTGCAGAGTAAAAAATGTTTCTCTATTACGATGTATGTGAAAAGTTTGATCCCTATCACTGCCTGGTACATTAAGTTTATCTGCTCTTGCTTGTCTTTAATAGGTTGGTTCACTTAGTTCTGGGGTCAGTCATGAAGCCATTAGATTGACGCTTTCCTTGATTGCTTGGTCTGAGGAGCATGTAACATTAACCTACCCATCCACCCCAAACTTCCATGCCATCTTAATGGGAGTTTCTTTTTTATGGGAGTTGAACAATGACAGAATCTGAACAGGGGTGGCTTTCAGGGAAATGATAGAAGGCTTCCACTGGTTCAAGCTCAGGAAGGATGAGGCACGATGCCACACTCAGGCCGGCAGTAAGGGATGAGAATCTTGATGCCGCCAAGTCAAAAGATCTTCACAGAGCTCATGGGTGGTATGAAGCAGGTTATGCTTTGGCTCCTAAAATGCGCAGTCAGCAATTGCAGTAGTCTCACCCAGTCTTTAAGGTGAAGTTCCTGGAGGCTGACCACCCCCCCCACCTCCACCCTCCCCACTCCTTTGGTAGCTGTGTGTTGTGCTCTGCAGATGAAAATTGGAGCGGCCTTTCCCAAACCTGAAAGCTGAGCCCTGTTCAGCAAAATAAAACTAGTCTTTCTTCCTGCTCTGCTGTGTTCACAGCAGAGCATATGGACAGTTTGCACTGCACTGTTCTGCATCCACCTTCCTTTCCTAGGTTGCCCCTCTGCCCTTCCCGCTGGGTGCACCCAATTATTTAAAGAGCAGCGGTGGCCATCCTTTCTGACTGGGAAGCCAGAAGTTAAACGTCGCTCTCTTTGTAAATGCTGCTCTGATCTGCCCTGAGGCATACCCAATGTGAGGTGTGCCCTGGGGTGCTCAAATGGAGGAAGGGGGGCTTGAATCATCCAGCCATAGGGAGCAGAACAGAGGCAGGATGTTGCTGCAAGAGAAGTGTTAACACAAAAAAACCAGATTAATCCATCTCTGTTCCTACAACCACTACAGTTCTATAGGGCATGTGAAGATCCAGAGCCCTGAATTCAGAGGGTTAACCTAGCTCTTGACAGTGACACCTGAAAACACCTAGTGTCTGGGGCTTGCATGCCACACGCAGCAGCTGCCCATGCCACTTTACAGCACACGTGCTGCGGGTTGGCCACCCCGATACAGAGGGACATTGCCTTTTTTTTTTATGCCAAATACAAGTCTTTCTCCTGAAATGGATATCTTGTATGGATGGCCAGAATAGCAAGCACTGCTGTGAAAATAAACAATAACACATTGTGAGCTAGGAGATGCAGTGGTGGGTTGCATGCATTTGAATTGGATGGAGCGTGCTTCATTTGGCCAACTTTGCAGCCATCTGTTTCATTGTTGGTTGCGGCTTTAAAAAAAACAAACAAACCCTGCCCTCCAGCCATTTGGGTCTTCCACAGAAAAATTGCATGACGTCTGTATTTGTTTTTTGCTTGCTAAGTTGGTAAAACCAGCCATGCTTGTGCTTTTCCTCTGCAAATCTGTTTAATGGTAAGTTTCACAAAGGCCCAGCAGCTTGCAAAACTTCTCAGAAATTACAAGGCATGGAAAGCAGTATTCCTGTAAAATGGTATATTTACTGCTTCGCCTAGTACTATACTTACAACGTAGTGGGATGCAAAACAACCAAACCATGCTCTAGCCTCCGTCACTCTAATGACTGCTGCTAAGGAATCATTTTGTGAATAACTGTCTCCAAACAGAGGTTCTAATGTGGACTGCATTTTCAGCTTCTCTGAGTATAGCATTTTAAGGAAGTTGCTTCACCAAGTACTCTGTTCTGATAATTCATTCTTGGCATGTATCTTATACCCATACATGCATCTTGTAGAATCCATTCACCTGCGGTAGGTAGCAGTCTCAGTTAGATAAAATCCATCAATTCAATTTGTGAAGAATCTGCTGTCTAAACAAAAAAAGAGGGCCAGAGAGAGCAAAAGCCCAAAGCACACCCCACCCCACCCCCGGTACATTTTAGGGCAATTGAAATTTGGCAGAAATGTCTTGAATCTACAGGCAGCTCTTGTGCCTAGGCTCTGGCAGAGGGGAAGCTGACTATAGTTTTCCCTCACCCTTCATTGCCAATCACTCTTGGGAACTTCCTTACCCCCAATAATTGGCCACTCTGATGCATGCTGTGTAAGCTCTGAGCAACAACAGAGGCCAAATCTAAAATAGAAGATCCAAAACGCTTGGGAAGGGAAAATTTAGTAGCCTCTTCTCTCTTCCAAGCATTCATAATCTGAAGAGGGAGGTTGACCATAAATAAATAATAATTCTCTCTTCCAGCTGCAAGAGCGAGTTAAATTGGGGAAGACCTGGCAGCTGTGAATTGATCAATACAGAGGCTACAAAGGAGGGAATCCCTGAACAAGGTTGAGACAAAGACTTGGCAGGTATCTCCATGCTGTTTCATCTTCCCAGCAGACCTAGAAAGAGACCAGAATTAAAGATGACCCCCAGACTGAAGTTGTGAATGAGAGGATGAGGGTGGGGTGCTGCCTCTGACCTTTCCCTGGAAATTTGATGAGAGCCTTTTCCATGGAGCTTCAGGCCATAGCCAGATTGGAGAGGGCCTAAAATGAAGATGGATTTGGACAAGAGGGGCTTGAGACAGCAAGTGTAACCTGGGAATTCCTTTAACTGAAAGGCAGGGTGGGTAAAGGTAGGTTTTTAAGATTGGAGAAACCCAAGTGATTTTTGTATTGTGAAGGGGAGGGAAGAAAAGAGGTAGATATTAAGAGTGAGGGGGTGGTTCTAGGGCTGGATGTACTTGTTAGAGAAAGTAAAAGGGTAGAGGAGGAGAGCAACCTTCTGCACCATGTAAGAAAGTTGTCAGAGTGGAAGGAAAAGCTAGCAAGAAGGGACCAATCATTGTCTTGGCCAATTTTATTTGTGGAAGAAATTGGTAAGATTTGGAGAGAGAAATAGTGCTTGGCAAAGACAAAGTTCAGTAGAAGCGATAGCTGAATTCCACTTCACTACTCTTTGTCTTCCTCCCACTAATTAGAACGTATGGATGAGACAGCATCAGTACCTTTGCTAGTTGTTTTGAATTTACAAACTATCATGTTTTAAAGCCTGGGGTTTCTCTCTGACTGTTGCAAAAAGATCAGTTTCTGAGAACTAAATGTAAATTTAATCTCCACCAGCTCTTCACGCATTGTCAGCCACATTGCAGTAATGAGGGTGCACAAACATGTGCTCTCATAATTTGACTTGGGGTGAGGCAACACCCGGGTTTTGAAGCATTTTTTTGCTAAAACTACAATTCTGTTCCAGCACTGGAATGAATCGTGTATGCAACTAACCATTAATTAATTGAGGCAGTGATGGCATTGAGTCAGCTTTACTGGAAAAGCTAGTCTGCATGAAAATCTCTTTGGTTGGGCTTCTAGGACCTGCAGTGAATTGGCTGGTACTTCCATCGTGTTCAGAGTGTTCCAGGTTTAAGACACCCAGTGAAGGGAGAAACCCAACATGACAGATGAGGAAAAAATGATGTCTAGCTGCAGTGGCTGAAAACTGAGAAGTCTGAGTGAGTGTAGACCCAAGTCAACATCAAACATACCAAATAGTCGGAATACCTCAGCTGTGGAACACAAGCAGGAAATCTGGAGCCTGAGATCTCGCAAGCTTGGTGGGGGAGTAAGACCATGATAATAAGCTTGGCATCTCCAAGTTCTGCAAGTGCAATAGCTACACTCCTGTAACCTCACAGGTATTCAGAGTGGCTGCTTGTCTCTGCCCTCACAACATCAGATGTGAGACAAATGCTCTCCCTTCCGAACAACAAAGCAGAGAAGGATGCATCAGTGTGCCCGGTTGGGGGTTGGAGGAATGCTTTGGCAGGGCTTCCCTTGCTGGCCTTTAATGCAAGAGCTGCCAACAGGTCATCCTGCTGTGTGATGTTTGTAGCTATACGTTGTTGGCAGTTGAGCCCATAATGGCACAGGTATGCTGGTTGAGTCCCATGCCTAGTGCTTGTTTGAGCATTACTTTAGTCCCGGTGTTCAGAGTGAGGAGAGAAGCTTCTCCTGACAGGCCAAGGTTTGCTCTTGCGAATTCCCCTTTGCTCTCCTTTCATCTTTGGTACTGGTTGAACCTGTGCCTCCATTAGAAATGCAGCCGAGTGGATTTGGGCACTGTCTGAACCCTGGGTTCTGATATCAACTTGGCCATGGGCTGATGTCACACAGCCCTGGTTCAGCTCCCCCAGCTGCCGTTTCTCTCCTGTCCCCCTCCTTACCCCCCACACCTCCCAATTAGACCTTTGTACCTTTAAGCTTTCGTTACTATGAGTAGCCTTGCAGCTCTCTCCTTGGCCTTTGTGAGCACAGACTTTGTTACCTCTTCACAAAAGCAGAACCTCAGGACCAGAGATAACTGGTCCCAGGTCCCTCTGTGTAACTTGATTCAGTCAAAAGCAATCCCACAGTCTTGTGACTTCCAGCCCTCCCATGGTGTGTACTACCTCTCTCCCTTTGTCTTCTCCTCCTCCCCCATAAGTAGAAACAGATAGTCCACCAAGGATTCCACACATAGTATATAAAAATAAGCTACTTTAGCATGAGCTGCAGGGTGAGGTGCATCCTGGAGTGCCGGGTCATGTATGGGGCTGGTTAAGAGCCACCTTAAGGCTGACTGTTGGTATAAACAGCCCCTAAGAAGGCTGCCAAATGACCCGTTCTCTTGCGTGCGGTCCTCTTTGATGCATGACTCCAGTCTTGGGAGGGGGGGAAAGGTTAGTTCCAGGTGGTGGCCAGCTTTTGTATGCTGAAATGCTCTTGGACTGGATACTAGTCTATCTCAGTATGAAGGCAAAAGCTAGCCTGATAAAATCCCTGATATCAGCTAAGGTTCATACACTGTATGTGGCCAGATTTTTTTCCAACTCAGCCTCTGGTTTTATGGCTTTTTTTGCAGGGCTA